CAGGGCGTGCGGGGCCAGTACTCGGCGATGGAATTCCACGGGACAACTCTGAGTTGGTGATACGGGAGAAGGAGGCGGAAGGGAGGGAAGTTGGTGGCAATAACGACGAAGTCGGGGGATATGAAGTAGTGCAAGTTATCCGAAGTGGGAAAATCGGGACACCTCGGATCGCTGGTCGTAGCACAGTGAAACTCCCTAGGGCACAATTGATTCTCGGTTAGGCAGGGGAATTCTAGGCGTCTCCGTCTGAGACACTCGCTCACCCAAGGGTTGAAATACTTCGGATCCCACGACGAGTCTGAGCCCCTCGAGTACGTCATCTTGTCATTGTGAGTCCGCGGAAGTCCTCAATGTGTGTTTATCCGGCTGGGGTAAGTCCGGGCCCGTCGTTCAAAAATTCCGCGTCTGTCCTAATGTTTGATGATTGCGATCACCACTTGTGAGTACGTGTAGGCCGCACAAATGGGATCGCGCTTACGCGTGCTCAGGCGGGATAGTTGCTACGTTGCGGATGCAAAACGGTCGTCGAATACATCCAATCATTCATCCATCATTCCAACATTTCCGCGCAGTGCAACATCCATTCATACAATCAGAAGAGAATCCCATGGCAGTTAAGTTCGTTAGTGGTTACGAATCGGCGCGTGTGGATACGCGTAAGCTGCACAGATCAGACCGTGCTTACGCGCATTCCCGCGAGGCGTTCGCTAATCTTCAATCCAACAACTACCCAATCATCTAATCATTCCGGGAGTCCGTACGCAATCGTTTCCGAGCATGTAAAAGGGCAATAACAACAGTAGTTCAAAAAGGAATAAACAGCAATGGAAGCAGTATTGATAACTACGCAAAAATTCCTACTATGCTTATGAGTGTATCAAAACGACAAGCACAGGCAAGGATCAGGCGAGAAGACACGCAATAGACATGACATTCATTCATCCATTCATTCGACAAAACACGTAACAAACGAAATCGAGATCAACCAAAAAAAATGAGTGTGGGCTGAAACCAAGACAAGGATTCCGAAGACAAAAAGAAAGACGGGCGAGTCGCCCTGAGACGGGATCAAAATTTATATACAAAAGCAAAGAGGGAGAAAAGACAAAGAAAACGGCAAATCCACGTCCATCAACCTCAGCTTCCTCTTCCTCTCTCTCTCACTCTCCGATGCGGACAGTCCGTCGTCGCGCACCAACCCACGAAGTCGTCACCCCGCTTAGTTCTCCCGCACCCGTCAAGTTCGCCCGCTCCCACAATCCGTTGTGGCCCGCGTCAACTCCACATGTTTGGCACCAGCTCGTCGGGTCGCCCGACTCCCACGTCAACTCACCTCTTACTTCGCTTGTGAGCCGACCCTCACTGATCGCGCTACCCCGAGCTTCCAATAGCTGGTTAAGAGAGCTATCTAATCGCGCAGCCGGAATTTATATCGTGCATGCATGCGCGAAAAACACGGAATCGCAAAGACTTAGAAAAGAGATCAGGAGAGGGAGCGCCTACGTTCTGCATGGCCAGATCGCGGCATGGGGGACATAGCCTCTCTCCACGCATCGACCCGAGCATACAGTCTGTGGGCTGGCCAGACGCAGCAAGAGAAAGCGAGAGCGGGAAAGACGAAGTTCAAGAAGAAAGATACAGTTACAATGACGCCCGCCCAAAATTATAGTTACACACACGATTAAGGGCGTCGACTAATCAGAGTTCCGTTGCAGCTGCACAAAGAAGCGTGTAAGCAAAAAGCGTCGTGCGGTGCGCGGTAAAAGAAAATCCTAATTGCAAAATTCCTAAATTTCTATCTAATGCAGAAAGAGCGAAAAACATGAATTCTGAAAAGAAAGTCCGAGTCCGAGATTCCGAGAGCCATTGGGCCTCGACAAGTTCCAAAAAGAAATATGAAGCAAATTTCCGCACGGTCTCTGCGCCTAAAATCCAACAACAAAGAACGAAAAGGAACGACATCAACTAGTATTATTCGCTCGCTTGATGGCGGCGCATCACCCATCAATCACCCCCGGGACTTGCCCGAGCCTGAACCCAGCCACCTGAAAAGAGACGATGCAAAAAGACGAAGAAGCGAGGACACTGATGCAATTTCCCTTCAATCCCGATCTCCCGTAATTGGCCCATCCTTCCCAACTTAGGACCCCTCATTGTTATCGCGCGAAAAATCACGCGGAATAGAAATCGGTTCGTCACATATGTGTCGCCTAGGGGGTTCCAATCTTAAGCAAGCTCCTGCTTGCTTGGATCTTGACACGTGTCGATCTCTCTAATCGATCGACACGCGGAGCTTTCTACGTTGCTACTTACCGTGTGAAGGAGTGTGGACGTCATCCAACGTGGCATACGGGCTCTGTCCTACATATTCCTCAGGAGGGCTCTCGTCAATCCTAGGAGGGGATTATTCATGCCATCGCCGTGGCACGCACACCAATCAATCTATAATCAATGTCCACCGGGGAGGGGGAAAGGGGGATGATACATAGGGGCATGGCGAGGGGGAGGGTTAATCAGGAGCGGGGGTAAAAAACTTTCCACCCTCGCCACCGTTTCCAGAAGCTCCTGATATCGGACGATCCGGTGGAAACGGGGGAAGCGATTACCACTGTGGGGGAGGGAGGCGAGGTAGTCGGGATACAGAGTGGCGAAGGTTCGGAAGAGTGCCGCACGAAAATGATCGTAGTTCTCTCATGCGGGGATAGTCTCCATAATCATGCAATAAACTTCGATGATATTGTGGCCTCGCCACGCGGCACTAAGGAGAAGGGTGTGAAGGCAGAAGTCGGGGAGGGCACACCTTGTCGAGGGATGGGGGTGAACAGTAACAACAAGGCGAGTAGCGTAGAAGAATCGGAAGGTATCGATGGGGAAGGGGTTACGGGGGAAGGTGACGCGGGTGGTAATTTGGCGGAGGGTGAGATGGTCAATGGGACGGCGGGATAACGACCGGGGACGAAGCCCGATGACCCGCATCGGTACGGGCTCGAACTGGTGGACGGTCGGAGGGGGAGGGGGAGGGGGATCGACTTCGTCGCCGCCTTGTCGGTGCGCTCGAAGTCTCGGCAGCTGGGTCCCCATCTTCGGGCTTGGGCGACTCCGGATCTCGGGTCGGATCATCGGCGATTTGCAGATTTGCTCCGCTGGCGAATTCCAATTGTCGCTTTCCGGCCGCAATCTCTTCTCTTTTGCGCGCCGCCTCGAGATCCTCTGCCTGAGCGTCCGTTTGTTCTGCCTCCTCCGCCGAGGTCTCCCACTCGGATTCTTCTAGCTCCAGCTCTTCCTCCTCTTCGTCTTTCAATGGATGATGTCGAAGTCGTATTCTTGTAGGCGCACCGCCCAACGTCCAATCATGCCCGTGTAGTTAGTGAGTCACTTCAGCGCTAGCAAGGGCTCGTGATCGGTGACAAGGAGGAACTTATGTCCGTACAGATACGGATGGAAGTGTTGGATTCCCCACACCACTGCGTAACATTCGCCCTGTGGGGCTGAGTCATTCCTCCCCTCGTCCGGCACCGTTCGTGACGCATATTCGATGACGTGTTCGCGACCGTCGTTCCCCTTCTGCGTTAGAATAGCGGAAATAGCCTCCGGCTGCCAGTCCGTGAATGAACTGTTTAGCGGGGTCCGGCCGGATCAAAATAGATGTCATTGCCAAAGCGTCCTTGAGGGTCTCGAAGGCCCGTTCGCACTCTGCGTCCCAACTAAGGGGCTGGTCCTTCCGTAACAAGTTCGTTAAAGGTCGTGCAATCGCGGCGAAGCCCTTGATGAAACGACGATAGTACGAAGCTAACCCCAAGAAGGCTCGAACCTGCGTCAGTGACGTGGGGATAGGAGCTTCCTTCACCGCGGCGACCTTTCTCGAGTTAGGCCACAGTCCTCCACGTGTCACGACGTAGCCCAAGAACGAAATTTTCGAAAGGAAAAACTCGCTCTTTTCGAGCGCAATCTTGAATCCGGCGTCTCTCAGAGCACCCAACGTCCACCTCGATATGTTGTGCATACCCGTGATAGGTCTCCGAATAAACCAGGATGTCGTCCATGTATATGATGATGCAGAAGTTGATCATTCCTTGCGTTAGCCGCGTCTTGTTGACGAAGTTTTGGAACGTGACATTCATAACTCTTTGAAACGTGGCCGGCACGTTGCAAATCCCCATCGGATATCGAACCCACTGCCACGTGCCTTCAAACAGTACGAAGGTTGTCTTTGGCCGATCTTCCTCCTTAACTAGAATGTGATGGAAGGCGTGCCGAATATTAAACTTACTGAAGTAATTAGCACATCCAATCGCATCTAACAAATCATCAATCCGGGGGAGGGGATACACATCTTAGATCGTGATATCATTCAGTTTGCGATAATCAATGCATATGCGAATCAATCCGTTCTTTTTCGGTACTAATACTACCGGAAACAACCATGGTCTGGTGGCAGGTTCGATCCAACCGCTTGCTTCAAATTCTTGAATTCGCTCGAGAGCCTTTCTCCGTTCTACCAGGGAATATCTGTAAGGTTTATAGTGAATTGGGGAATGATTTCCTGTCTGGATCTCGTGCTGTATGACTAATGACAGTCCAATGTCTATGTCTGTCACACTAATCGCTCCTTTGTATTCCTTTAGAATGTCTGCGATTAGGCGGTGAATCTCATCAGGTACATATCGAGGTACGTGCAACTCATACGACTCATCCCATATCCTCACATCGATGTGTTTTGTATTCACCCGCTTGACATTTTCTGGCGGGGGCGCGGAGATGAATGAGTTATCTGATTGTCAGGAGAACACCGTGACCATCATCTGCGCATCTTGTTCTCGGATGGCCACGTGTTATTCAGGTGTTACCCCGTCTCGAATGTCTTGCCACGGCACAGGTTTCATTGCAATCTTGATCCCGAGCCCGTTCTCGAGGCGCTCAGGGGGTTCCAAAGAGTTGATCTTTGCCCCTAAGCATAGCAATCGAATCTCTTTTGCAGGTGTCAACAGAGACTTCGGGAGATCCGTGATATCGCAGTAGTGCCTTTTGTCATTGTATCGGGCGAGAAGAGGGGAGATCCCTTCGCACAGGGTTCGAGGGGGTTCCAAGGAATCGACCATCCTTGAAATTTGTATGAGAGGTTCTCCCATAATCATAGCCTGTGTTTTTTGCAAGTCTTGATTAGTCCTACTCAATGCTTTAGCACTTGTCCGTTGCACGGGGTAATGGATACGTTCTTGTGCCATCTCCAGGATTACGGGATCATCCTCATCATCGCTGCTGTCTGCGTCCTTGGATGTCTGCCCGTTGTCCCAGGTAATCACGCGAAGAGTCCCCGTCATCGCGGGAGAAACTCGTGGGGCTAGATTAGCGGTAGTACGAAGGGTCAGTCTCATTGGTACAACGTAGGGCTTCCCCCCCGTATTTTGGAGGACAATCGATTGTCTTTCGAAGTCCAGATCGGCCCGTAGTGCTACCAGGGCGGGAAGGCAAAAAAAAACGTCGTAAGTGTTGACATCTCATACTACGACGTCACCCAAAGCATGCACCTTCCCTAATCGAAAAGCAACGTTAGTCATTCGTCCCACTGTTTTTATCTTTTCTTCATCTGGCGGGACGAGCTGATCTTTTTCTGTGAGCATGATCAGATCGCCCTTTCTTCTTGCTCTCTCCACTACCCGTAATGAAATAGCCAACACAACAGCTCCTGAATCGATGATAGCATTATCTGAAATTCCCCATACCTCAATATCGCATTCCGCGGATTTCCATGGAATGGGTTTAATCCGCATGAAGTGATCATCTTTTTGGATTAGTCCTATGCGTATGGGATCAGAAGTACTTGCGACATTTTCGTCCGGTGTCGGTCCTTTTGTTTTTGTGTTTGCTGCTCGGGTAAGAGCAAACCGTTTCCGATTTGCTTTACAATGTTGTAGCATGCGTTCGTTAGCCTGCTCTGATATTGAAAGCAGATGACCGATCGGAAGGGGATTCGATGATCTGAAGCTCGTACGATGTTTAAAACATCTATTTCCCCCGTGACGAAGGTGGGTCCTCCTAACTCCATCTCTCCTGGAGAAGGTCGCCACTCCGCCACTTCTCGTTGTTCAGGCGCCGGTCTAATCGTACCAATCATTCCAAGGTCCAAATATCCCAGTGTCACATACCGATCTAATGGAATAAGCTCTGCAACTTCCTCCATTGTTGCTAACGTGGTTCCGCTTCCCTCTACTTCTTCCATCAAGGCTCCTACCCGTCCCGACCCGTTAGCGATTGGTGCTGCAGCTACTGGTGCGGTTCCGACTCGTTGTTGCGGGGGCCGGTGAGGGCAATCCCGGGCTATGTGCCCTGGTTGGTGACACGTGTAGCAGACATTCAAATTGCCCGGGATCCCGGTAAGAGGCGGTGTCGGAGCCAATCCGTGTTGGATCGGCGCGACACGTACTACGATGGGTCGCATCGATCTCATCATAGCCTCGATTCGAGCATTGTATTCCCGCTGCTCCTTGCTCTCCTAAATCAAATTAACCAATGTTTTGGTTAGTTCGAGTAAGGCGGAAGACTCATTCGGTCGTGAGGGGGTTTCGATCGGGGGTGGGCGTACTGTTATCATGGGAGCGGGTACGTTTGCAATCACACTTGGAACCGATCGTTTAGGGGTTATCTGCTCTAGTAGGTGACCGGGCCAGATACAAATCCCATGTTCTCGAATTTGTTTTGCAACACGGCCAGCTCAGCCTTAGCCCTGGCAAATTCAGACGAGTCTCCTTCCCTGGGGTAATCCTCTCCTTCTAAGAAACTCGCAACAAATTTTCTTTCCATTTCTTCTGCGCCTGCCATGATCTGTTGCAGCGTGTGATTGATGGGGGAGAACTGTTTTCGCAGTTTCGCCCTTATCGTTCGGCTGCGAAGTCCGTCAATGAACAAATCTCTTCCTACTTGCTCACCTCGCTCTGTTTTCACAAACATTCGGTAAAACCGGTTTCGGTATTCCGTGACAGACTCAAGGGTTTTCTGGACCCGATCTTTAATCATAAAGAGCGCTTGTTCTGGATGGATATAATCAAACCGATTCAGAAAATCTCGCTCGAAAGTTGGAAGATCCACCCATACATAGGTACTAAACCAATGATGGGCGTCCCCTCCTAATCGAGCGGGGATGTTCACCTGAGCTTCGTTGTCACCATACTGCTGCGCCCGGAGCGTGGCTAACCATGCACCAGCAAGATGATGCGCAGGATCAAATAGATAGAGATTTGGTGGCGTCATAGGAACCCGTGCTCGCGGTGCGGGTTGATTAGGATTTTGTTGCTGATTGGGGTTCTGCTGCGGATTCGGATTCTGTGGATTAGCATTCATGTTGGTCGCTCGTCGATTAGCCGATCTGCTTCTAGTGGCGACGGGGTCGCTTCTATGCACGTTCCAGGGTCGAGGTCGCCCTCGGTTAGCCAGATCGCTCAATTATCGTGTTATTGGTCCTACAACCCGGCCACGTGTCGGGCTTCGATACCAACCTCACGCCCGGTGCGACTTCCTGATCGGAGTAGGATGTGGGCCTGGAAGTGCGACAAGGGGTGTGCCAAGGATTTTTGGGAAAGTGGGGGTGGATTCCCAGGTCAGAACTACAGGGTTTCAGGGCACAGGTTCAATATGGTTGAGGGCGAGTTACTTCCGGTCTGCGGGTGTTCTATGTCGTGCAACATAAGGCAGATGGCATGCGCTGTGCATTCAAGGCCGTCCGATTCGTCTATTTCGGGGGCGGTGGTTCGGGGAGGGGTCTTCCCGGAATGGCTGTGATTCTGATGAGTTGGGCCTCTGGGGGCAGCCACGTAGCGTCTTTCGTCGCGCGTTTGGGTTAGGCCTCCTCTTGTCGGGGGCTCGTCGGTTGCCGCGTCGCCGACAATTTCCGCAGGGCGTGCGGGGCCAGTACTCGGCGATGGAATTCCACGGGACAACTCTGAGTTGGTGATACGGGAGAAGGAGGCGGAAGGGAGGGAAGTTGGTAGTGATAACGACGAAGCCGAGGGATATGAAGTAGTGCGAGTTATCCGAAGTGGGAAAATCGGGACACCTCGGATCGCTGGTCGTAGCACAGTGAAACTCCCTAGGGCACAATCGATTCTCGGTTAGGCAGGGGAATTCCAGGCATCTCCGTCTGAGACACTGGCTCACCCAAGGGTTGAAATACTCCGGATCCCACAACGAGTCTGAGTCCCAGACCATCCAGGCCTGGGCATTTGCCCCTGGCCATGCTTTTGACTGCTCGGTGGAGTTCTCTTTCTGTCAGAGGAGCATCCAAATGATTTATAATTGAAACATTAATCCGGGCTCTGGATCGATCCCAAAAGTTAGAAACTTCTGAAAGATCTGTCTCGAAATGGTCAAACGAGCGTCTTGTTGACACTATGTCCCTGAAGTACTCCAGGGCATAGTGACACAGGTCCACCGTATCTGTGGCTACCGGGGAGTTCAGGGCAAAGGGATGAGTTAATTCTCTGATAAGAGGTTTTGTCTGACGTAAAATCAGCGAACGGAATGTTAACTTTGTCATCCTATCGCACCCCATAATCCCCCTGAGCTTTAACCATTCCAATCTCTCTGACTGTTTGAGAACTTCCACTTCCTCTAACCGAGCTAGAACAAGTTTTCTCTTTTCCGTCCAGTAGTAGTCAGCAAAAGGGTCCTCGCCCATCCGAGATTCTGCTTCTTTTATCAGTCTATGCAACTTAGTTTCTTTCCAGTTCCTGTGGGCCGCCTTCATTCTGGAAAATTCCATCATTGCGACTCTTATTGTCTGTATTCCCACGTCAGCCCATGTTTTTTCATCTTCGAACAAGTCTTTGGCCTGAAGCCACCCCTGCATTTGAGAGGGGATCCACTTAGGAATCCCTTTGTCTTTCAGATTATTAACATTTAATCTAAAAGGCGGTCTTTCCCTTGTGGTGATATCTTTTGATAAGACCTCCATAAATTCTGGGTAGTGGTCGGAAAGATCCGACACTCTGTACTCGGAAGTAGAGCATCTGTCCCACAGGGAACCCCTTGCCAGAATAAAGTTCAATCGTCTACGCGGAGCCGGGGCTCGCGGGGACGGCTTTGGCCCATACCAGGTTTACCCTGAATCTTCAGGGTTAAGGCAACGAAATGTATCTGTTAGTCCCTGCTCATCAATGAAGGCCAATAGCAGAGAGGTGTCCGACCTCAGTGTGGTACTCACTGGGGAATCCAAACCAGGATTCCGTATTGTATTCCAGTCCCCTGAGATAACTAAGTTTTCGGTATCAGGCAAAAACGATGGGAGGGTAGCGAAGAAGTCCGTTCTGTCAATATAGTCTGTGGGGGCGTATACTGAGACTATTGCTCAGTCTTTGTCCTCCGTAGCTAATTTAACCCAAACTAATCTCCCCCCGGGATCGATAAAGGAGTCAAGGACCTGACAGTCAAGGTCTTCATGTAGAAGGATGGCAGTTCCTCCCTTCGTCCCATCTGTTGGGGCCCAAAATTGAGGGCGCCTCCACCAATTAACTGCCCTATGCGTTTTGCAGAAATCCAGCTTGGTCTCCTGGAGGCACATTATCTGCACTGCTTCCTTATGGACCCAGGAGCACAGGCGCTGTCTTTTGTAACGATTGTTAGTATCTCCCAGCCCTTTCACATTCCAGGTTGCAATCCGGATTCTATTCGGTAAGACCATTAGTATGGTCCAACCCGCTAGCTTGTTGGATGCGGTCTTCCTCGGCTGCTTTCGGAGTGATTTCAGGCTGGGAATCAACCAACATCCTGATTTCAGGGGGGAAACCCGTCGCATTTACAAGTGCTGCAAATTTCCTCCCAGTTAAAGTAGTCAGTGCATCCCTTTTCGATAGCCAATCATAGATGACCCTTGCTGATAAACCAGGCAGTAAGGTGATGTTCGACAGAGCCTCTAGATTTGGGGAAGTGAAATCTTGAAACGGGTACCAATACCCATTTTTCAGACCCCAGCTCCGAAAATCCGGAGTAACTGCAGAGATACCCATGAAGGCAATGTGAAGTAGGGCTTTCTTATTATCGGGCAGAGGGACCACATGTCTCCCCCTTTTAGGGGATGGGATGGACACGCACATACCTGTTTCGTTGAAGACTTGCCTGCTTGTCATCGCCAAAGCCTCCTCCTCTGAGGGGGCGGACGGGACTGACATCATAGGGAGGCTTAATCCGGCCTCGCCAGACCTGTGTGTGTAAATTCTTAGTCTCTGGCCTGAATCTGAGAAAATTAGTGGAATCAAGTATTCATTAACCTGACCTGCCAGCCTGTCGGTCCTGCCCAGTGTTACCATTGGGGCAGCTAGAAGTAAGGATTTCTGTGCCGACCGCCCAGGCTGTGTCCTCTTTTTTGTGCTATGGTCAGCGGGTTGGCAACTCAGATCTCCATTCTCCCGGTCCTTCAGGGTGGGTAGGGCGGTATTGTCGTTTATTTTCGCTTTCTTACACGTGGGTACTGTGTCGTCTCCCACGCCAAAGCTAATCCCCCCTTCCTCACCAAACAACCCTGGAATCCCGAAATCCAAAATCGCCTCCGATCGTCCTCCTTCCGTGTCTGTCGTTTCCCCATTTGGCAGATCCCCATTGTCAGAGGGTTTCTCCTTCCTTTTATTCAAGGTAGGAGTCACCTCCTCCACGGGGACTTCCTTTTCTGAGGAAGTGTCTTTAGACTTGGGAAGGAGACCGGTCTCATCGGACTTACGGTTACTTTTCTTCAGCATATCTCTTGCTCCTTTACTGATTTTTTGGTTGCCTTTCTTTATAGGGCTAGGGCCATTGAAAACGAAAGGGGCAGACGAAAGTGAAACGGAAGATTTGCGTAGGAAGCTTTTTCTTTCTTCCTCCTTACCTTTCGTTCCTTTATCTTTCGCTGGACTTCTTTCTTCCCTGTGTTTTCTTGTGACCCTCGGATCCTTCAATTCTGTGTTTTCATCTTCCTCCCGGAATTCTGGGTCAGGGGACTTTTCTCTCATTGCAACGTCCTTTGGGATAGAGCCCTCCCCTCCCATCCCTTTTTGATCCTCCTGCTCGCTCTTCTCCCCCAATAACTTACTCCCCTCGTTGTTGTTCTCCCCATCCTCAGTAGTCTTACCCTTCCTCTCCAGCTCCTTCTCCTCCTCCTTCTCTCCCTTGTCTCCTGCCACAATCTTTTCTGTTCCAGTTCCTGTTCTGTCATGATCAACTGCTGCGTCTCCTTTTAGCACCTCTTTGTAGGAGGGTTGCCTTCGTCGCTTTCCTTTCTTTCCCTTCCCTTTTGGGTCTCTTTTCTCCCCTTCAGTCCCTCCCCTTACTTTCTTAACGGAGACCTTCACCCATTTCTCTCCTCCCTGATCTCCCTTGTTGTCACTTTTTCCTTCTGCCTTCTTTTCCGTACCCCCCCTTCCATCCCCATCCTCATCACCATCACTCCTCTTCTTCCCATCTGAGGTTTTACTCTTGGATCCAGTTTTGTCCTTCGATCTTGCCGGGCAGTCGACATCCGTTTCCTTGTGGAAGTGGCGGCTACAAGTTTGGCACCAGGACTATTCTGCACATATTACTTCAATTTTGACTTTCCCGAAGCTTCCAAGGTCTATTTCCAGATATTTCTTAAATTTCATTTTCGCTGACGGGACAAGATCAAAACGAACATTACGAAGGTCAGGTTCGAGTGCTTTCTTGTACGCCGGGTAGTCTCTAACGACAGTCCCGAAGGCGTCTTCCACCACTCCCTTCAAAGGCCCAGTATCGCTACCGGCACCTCCAAACAGCGAATCCAAAAGTACTTCTGCCGCATGGCATCCTTCCATGATGCTTGCAATTGGTGGATATTCATCCACGGCTTGAAAGTTAACTCATAAGTTAATCCGTCTAGCTCAACCGTATCGCATCCTTTCCTCAGCATCCAATCCGTTGTCTGTTTGACGGAAGCCACGTAAGTGGCCAGATTATGGCCCTCATTACAAAACGTGCCCCTTATAGGAGCAGCATGCGGAGCACCTGCGGCCGCCCAAGCGTGTTCATACATCCTCACTAACCTGTTTTTGACTTGTACTGGCAGGTTGGAGGCTTCATCATTGAAGAAAATGGAAACCGCGTGATCCATCAGCCAGTCGGTTTGGACTCTGAATACATTTTCATCGACCGTGACACAAACGAAGTCATCTCCCGTTTCTACCAGACCCGGGGTAATCCCGTTTGGCAGAGTGCCATCCTGAAAACATTTAGAGAGAAGATCTCTAATTCGGTCCTTGCCTTCGTCAGTCAATGGGTTGATGTGTTCCGTGGAAGCCGTAAGGGGGTTCAAAGGTTGCGCCATACCGGAGGGCTTTAACGCATGAGCGGAGACAAATAAGATAGTCAAAAATAGTACGAATACTACGGGATATCTGAAAGACGACGCAAAACCTATCCTACCGCTGGTTGTCAGAGGCATCACTTCAAAACAGTAAAAAGGCATGAGGTTATACCTTTTGGAGGACGACAGGAACAAACTCGTGTGCGGGGAGGAGCACTTCTTGTGACGAAGGCCTTCAATTTCTCGAGGGAAGAAATCTTCCTCTTAACCCGACCCCTTGGTCCAAGATACTGCTGTTACGCTCACCACCATTTTAACCAACCACCCTTCGGGCCATGCCCGCCAACCTCACTTTTCGACACATGCACTTCTCATCCTCGGAGTTGACGAGAGAGACGACCTTTCATCACCTGGGTCAACTGGGAAGCGTCTCGGGCCCGGACCCGGGCCAACTGGCACGGGTCCCGAACGCCTCCTCTTCTGCGCCAAAATTAGCGCATCATTAGCGCTAAGCTCCTCCCGCTGCCGCTAACAGTGAGAAATATTGGTGCTGTCTTCCTTCGGTGAAAATTAACAGTGAAGGACAAAGCAAGCCGAAAGCTACTTCCGGGCCAATTCCGGCCTCCGGTACATGGACAAAGCAAGCCGAAAGCTACTTCCAGAAACTGCGAGACAAAGTTAGAAGTTAAAAGGAAAAGGGAAAAAGGGAAAGAAAAAAGGAAGGAAAAAAAAAAAAGAAACAACGGCGGACGCGTCATGTTTTGAGTTCCTAAAGGCATGAAAAACAGGCCTTCGGTGACTGTATCAAGGCCTGAGTTCGAAAAGGTGTTCGTAACTCGAGGCCGGCAGTGGTGTCAGGGCGGAGTTCGAAAAGGCGGTTGTGTTTTTTTT